GTGGGTTGCCAGGGCAACCAGAGGAGGTCAGCTGACCAGAAGGGGCAGGGCCTGGCTCCCATATAAAGTCCAGGGGCTGAGGCCAGGCTAGGAGTTCCCTGCCAGCAGTCAAGGGGGAAGAAGCTCTATCTCAGGGAAGAGAGGAGAAGCCTGAATGCAGGAGCAGCATCTGACACTGCTGCGGGATGAAGTATCCCCGGTAGGCTTGAACAGGGATATAGCTGGGCAGTGTCCATTTATGTTATAGCCAAGGGGCTTGCGTTTTGTTTGCTATTTGTTACCGGTGGTTTGGGTGAAGCTATAAGGGGTTAGAGGAAGCCTCATAGGGGACCCACAGCAGTGTGGGGACCCCAGCGCCAGCAAGGGCGCAGCATTCAGGGTGCACTGACCCCAGCCCCAGCAAGGAGGCAGTTGAGAGGCCCCAGAGAGGGGGCATAGATGAGAAGCCCCAGTGTGGGTGTGGAGAAGCCCCAGAGAAGGGGACACAGAGTGAGACTGAACAACGTCAATTCCATCTGCGAGGCTTGGGGCATGGTAAAGGGATGGTCGGAGCCACGCATAGCCCATAAGGCTGGGGTGCCCCTGAAGCACCCATTGCACAGCGGGACCCACAAAGGGTCCAGGAGTCCACGGGGTCAGATATTGCAACAGACCGTGTCGAAGAGGACATAAGGCAGCCTCCCATATATTTATACTCCATCAAAGACATGGCGGGTGAGAAGTGAGGGTGCCCTTTGGGCCAACTTGGCATGGGAAGGGGGCCTTAGGGAGATCACGGCCATCCCGCAGGACCCTGCGCTGTGACAGTAGCTAAGAATTTAAGTTCTGAATTCAAATGTTAACATATAAGCACTGAGATCTTTAAAATCTGCATGTTGCTTCTCTACCAACTTACCCCTAACCAGTTCTTATTCTTTTTCCTTTAATTAGCACCCCCCTGCATTGTACAAAGACTATTACTGTAAGCAACTGTTGTTCTTGCAACAATTGAAACCATACCATGCGTTCATGCCCTGTGGATCTTTGACAATCCTCTTCGCACATTTAACAGTTGCAGTAATGTCTGGTTTCATTAACTCTAAAAAATGGATAAATAAGAAGAACGGTAGGAAGAAAAAAAAAATCAACATTTTCCCCTTCATTTTTGATTCAGTAATCTTTAAACTATCCTCAAATTAGCTAAGATTTATTAATTATGTTTGTTATAGTAGTGAGGGAGGACAAACTGAACATTGAGCCCTGTTATACCTTAGAGTATACAGTGATTAGCAGACAGTTTCTGCCCTGAAGGGTTTGTAATTTAAACAGACCAGATAGACACTGAGGATACGGTATAACACACACTGGGTGTGTCTAAATGTTAATTAATGTGCTATAGTTACTGCACATTTCATTTACTACTTGCTTAATGAAGTACTAACTAAATGCGCAGTAACTAGAGTTACTACACAGTAGCACCGACACATGGTTATTTTGTGATGTTTACTTCACAATAGCCTAATAATGCTACACAGTAGGAGTCGCAGAGCACTAAGGTGCCCTGCTCCTTGAAGGGCTCAAACTGCTAGGGAGACAGCCCTAGCAGTCAGTTGGGAGCCCCAGCTGCTGGTTACCAGGGCAGCCAGAATGAGAGGATTGGCCCACACCTGCCAACGATCAGCTAACCAGAAGGGGCAGGGCCTGGCACAAATATAAAGCCCAGGGCTGGGGCCAGGAAGGCAGTTCTCTGCCAGTGGTCAAGAGCGAAGGAGCCCTCCTAGAGCAAGCAAAGGGGAAAAGGCCTGACTAAGTTCTGCTCCTGGTAATGTTAAGGGACGTAGCACGCTCTGTGCGGCTTGAGTTATGGTGTAGCCTAGGGGCTTGCATTTTTAAATTTTTGCTTATAACACCGGTGGTTTGGGCTGAGGCTACTGGGGAAGGAGGAGGCCTCATTGGGGGCCCACTACAGCATGGGGACCCCAGTGCCAGAGAGGGTGCAGTGTTTGGGGGGGGTGAACAGGCCCCAGTGCCAGCCCAGTGCCAGTGCAGGTGCAGAGAGAGACAGGGCCACGGCGAGCCCTGTGATGACCCGAGGGCTGAGTGAAACCAAGGCCTCAGAGGGATGCTATGTCAATACCATCCGCAAGGCTTGGGGCATGGTAAAGGGACGGTTTGGAGCCATGCATAGCCCATAAGGCTGGGGGTGTTTCCAAAACATCCATTTTGAAACAGGACCCATAAGGGGTCCAGGAACCCATGGGGTTCAGTGGGGTCTATAGGGATTGTGTCCAACTTGACTTGAAGGCAGCCCCCTATTTTATTATAAATACATCAAGACATGGCGGGCAAGAAAAGAGGGTGCCCATCACGCCAAATTAACATGGACGAGGGGCCCTAGGGTATCACGGCCATTCTTGGGGACCCCATTCCGTGACAGTAGGTTTTTAGCATGGGTTTTGACCGCCACGCTACTGTACAGTGTTATTAGGCTAATGCGCAGTAAACATCTAATGTAGACGTGCCCACAGAGAACAAATAATGGCAGATGTCATTTTTGTTGCACAATCTAGTCTTAATTCCAAAATCCTCTTCAGCTCATGGGTCAATTATTCCATAACTGACTCCTTCAATTTCTTGTTTTTTTTTGCTTATGCCTTTGAAACATGTGGTACCAGACACACTTACTGGCAGAAGGATATTAGATTAGAAGGACGAATAGATTGATCTAGTGCAATAATTTTGAAGTTCCTTTCTTTCTAGCTTCTGAGAAAAAATACAAATCTAGCATAGGAAAACCTGCTCTTACTGTCATTTTAAAAATGTGTGTGTTGATTGCTAGACAGTTATTATAAAGCAGTTGTTATCCAGTATTATAAAAGAATGGCATGCCATTAACTAATCTGACATGCTTGTCTGACACTTGTAGGGCTAGTTGGCAGAACACTAACTTCTGAAATCCAGTATAAACAAACAAAAAAAAAGAATCTATTTTTTGGCAGCAGTTTGGGTAGAAAAGGTACTGAATGAGTCCAAGTAAAAGCTATTAAGAGACCAGAAGCTCTGGGCTGGCTTTGTGAGTGAGGGGTGACCTCCCTCTTATAAATTGTTGGTGATGGGAAGTCACTGTCAGCCATTTTCCTGTGTTGCTTGCGTCTTTCACAGAAACACAGGAAAGAAGACGTAAAAATATTGATAAACTACAGCAAAAATAGACAGGATCTACAAATGGATGACTGAAATACCCCTAAATCTTTCTTTAAATGAACTAAATTTCAAGTGCACAGTGGCTGTGTGGCAGAAACCATGATGTGATGCTACTGCGTTGCAAGGAAGCCATTCATCAGCACGACTGTGCAGTAACTCAGGTTAGCGTGCAGTCATTTAGTGCTTATATAAAAACACAAGTAATAACTGACTGCACTGTAATGACATGGCCAATATCTCCTTAAAGCAGAAACATTATTTGTAAAATTTCACAAGATTGGGTCAGAAACTGCCATTTGAATTGGTCTTATGCCCAGGGGTGAATTTCACTCTCTTGAGAGCAGTTAACTCTGCTCAAGTCTGGGCTACCTGGTAAGTAAAACCCTACTCCTCTGGAAGAGAAGCAGAAGTGTTTTTTACTAAAGAAACCTAAAAAAATAACAAACACAAATCCTTGTGTTGTTTAAGGGAAAATGATAGAAAATGTCCTTTAGGAGTGTTTCCATTTATGTCACAGGACATGGCCATAAGTTGCTATCCCCCACTTCTGAATGAAGAATAAGGGTTTAAGTTTTGTCTTTAAAGTACGGCTGTGAGGTCCCCAACTGTCTAGCCCTCAGTTATGCATTTGCAACCCTGGGAGCCCACCCCAGTATAAAAGAGAGGAATATGCCCTTCATAGTGTCACCTGTGCACTGGATTCTGCATGCATTCTTGGCTCCTGGAGTCTTGCCATCATTGCACCACCAGCGGCTGTTGATTTGCAAAATCCCATAATCCGTGCTTCCATCAGAGTTATGGTTTATGGCATTTGTGTTAAAGTTGCTCTCATATTTTGCTGTACACACCCCTGGCAAGGTTCCATTTGAAAGAAAAATGAGTACAGAGGCTGCCACATTTACTTGATTATAGCTCCTCCCACTTTAAAGGCTGACTATTGGATAAAAATATGTGTCTCATCTTTCTATATTGTGCAAATAATTGATACAGAATATATACATGTCTTGTTTGCTCTCTACTCGGATCGAATGTATAATCTTATTAAATAGGAATGCAAAAAAATGCTTTCAACATATAGGGCCCACACTCCTCATATGGCATCCAAATATTTTGTGTCTAAAACTACATTTGGGACCTATATTTTTGTCTTAATGGGCACAAAAGTCATAACAGTCAGAGGGAGCATTCCCCTGTTTTCACCAGACAGGGTCAATAGTAGGGAATTCCAATGCATTCCAAGTTTAAACACCAATGTTCAGCTTTCCTTCCAGGGATGGATGTGCAATGATAGGAAACTGCTAAATACTCCCATGTCAACAAAGCCAAAGAGACCTCTTACTAGTGCACCATGACCACAGGCATGAAGGTGCACTCTGAAGGAGATGGTTTCACATACCTGTTTCTTGAATCATAAAGTACAGTTTGTGTAGTTTAGAGAGTATAATTAGGGAAAGTGGGTTGGACAAGAAGGCTCGCTGGAGACACTCAGGCAGTAGAGAGCTAAAGAGTGGAGAAGATTTGGAGTAAGAAAGCAAAAAGGACCAAAGTATGCCTGCACATCATTGATTAAAATACTTGGTGAGAAACCTTTATGGAGAACTTAGTTCTTATTTATGCTTAACTTTCCTATTCCTTCTCCATTTAACATGAATATATCTAAATTACTTTGGTTAGAGGAAGGGATTTCTGGTTTGAGATGTGCAGAGCTGCATGGACAGCAAGCAGGTTAAACTTTTTGAATTCTGTATCAGAACACATGTCCATCACCCTTTAAAACTGGTGTATTAATGGTTTCCTTATTACTACTGATAATCAGTGAAGAAAGGCCTTTTTCTTTTACGGAGTCCAAACTCATTAGAAATGCCCTTCGATTTTGTTCTCCTCTTCCCCACCCCTTCCCCCCGCCACCCTCCACTCCCTGTTCTTTGGTCTTTTTTTGCTTGCTTTCTTCAAATCTTCCCCACTTGTTGCTCTCTGCCACTCTAGTGTCTCCAGTGGACCTCTTTCTCCATCTCACATTCTTTAATGATTACTCTCTAAACCACACACAACCTAAATGAGGGTTTCGAGCCACTGCTGGTTGTACTTCTACTGTTAACAGGGCTCCCACCATGGCCTCATGCCACACTCTGCATTTGGTGTCCTGTTTACATCTATGGAAGCATCTTTCAGTCCTCCTACAGTAAGACTCACAGAGCCGAAAGCGAGAAGGGTGCAGACACCAAGCATAGACAGAAATAATTGAGGGTTGAACAGAGCGTCAGAGTGTGAACAGTGGGGTAGAATTGGGAGAACTAGTATTTTACACTGGTACAAGGAAAAGCTTCCAGAGTGAGTTAGGCCTGCTAAGTGGGGAAGGGAGAGGGACAGACTAGATAACCTTACCTGGGATTTACGAAAAGGGAACATTGTCCTCCCACCCCATAAACCATGTTAAAATCAAAGGGCAGCAGACTTACAATCTCCCAAAGAGTATCCTGGAATGTTAGCCAGCCCAAGCTTTTTCATGGCTGCAGCCAGCTCACACCTTTTTTAGACCTTCTCATGAGCAGCCAGAGGCAGGAGGAAAAAACCCAGAAAAATCAGAGCTTTCATGTTTAGCAGCATCACACACCCAAGCTCCAAGCGCTGAGACTGTCAGCTCACCAGCCTGTGTCTCTCCTTTTAATATTCTCTGACCTCCCCCATCCTGAAGTTACATAGACACAGACAACACAAACATCCTGGGCATTTCCCAATACAAATGGGGTCAATGCCAACACATTAAAATGATTTTGCTGTGGAAGGAATTTGCTGGTTCAGCCATATGACAACTGGACATTTTATTCCTGGATCCTTCAAATCTGATTCAGAACCTACAGCCCAGAAGTCATGACTATCTCAGGGCTTTGACTGTGTTCATATCTGCACAAACCCCACCACAAACAGTAGTCTAGTTCCTTTGCATCCCCAATATAAGACATGCACCTTGTTTTTAGAAGGCAGAAAAGTAGAAAAAAAGGTTTTCGGACTCGTGACTGAGTAAGTAACATGGATTAAGTCCTCCTGCAAATGCAGAGTGCTCAGGAAGTGTGGTATCTCAGGAGACAACCTGTATGAAGCAGCAGGAACTTCCAGGGGTGGCAAGACGGCAACAAGGCTAGGCCCCATATTTTTGCAAAAACAGTAGCAAGATTATTGCTTCTTTACTATAAATAGTTCATATGAGTTCCTGTGAATAATGCATTGTTGTTTCCATACTACAAGCTTCATCACAATACTCCAGGCTGCATGCAGCAGCTCACTTGACCTGAGCCAGCTCATCTGGTGCTCCAGGCACAAACTACAGTGTTCAGTCAAAGGCTACAGCAAATTCTTTAATGCTGGACCTCACCCCTGCTGCTTGCTGAGCCAGAAAGCAGTGGCAGCCATTTTGGCAGCTAGAGCACAGCATCTCCCTGCTCCTAATCCAGCAAAGAAAAATCGGTTTCCCCACTTAGGACATACTGCTCCAATTCTGGAGGTTTGATTCTTGGTGGAAAGGTGTTTGGTTTGTGAGAAAATACAGTACCCTGTACAAAATAAAAAAAATAACCCTCACTGACCTCATACCTCAGTGCTCCCACCACTTCCAATATAGAGGAAAAGTTAGAGGAAAGATCACTAGAATCACGACCCCTAAGATCTTTTCGGAGGTCTTTCTCCCCTTACTGAACCAAAGGTCTTAGACCAAGGTGGAGCCGTAGCTGGCCAGGGCTGCTATTTAGAGTGATGTTTCTGTTGTTTTGTTCTGCATATAATTTTGGTGCCCCCCCAAATTTTGGTACCCTAGGCGACTGCCTAGTTTGCCTAATGGTTGGATTGGCCCTAATTACAAAATGAGATACAGCTCACCCAATGCATCAAATGCCATTATGGAAGCTATGCGGGTCAAATTAAACAGCACCACACTCCATAATGAACTCTCAGGCCATGTGTAGACTAAACAAGGGGCATATGTACATGACACTTTAAAGCGGGCTAAATGTTTTTGCACTGCTTTAATGGTGTCAGTGTTTGCATGCGTCAGCAGCATATTCATAGATTCATAGATGTTAGGGTCGGAAGGGACCTCAATAGATCATCGAGTCCGACCCCCTGCATAAGCAAAAGAGTGCTGGGGCTAGATGACCCCAGCTAGATACTCATCTAACCTCCTCTTGAAGACCCCCAGGGTAGGGGAGAGCACCACCTCCCTTGGGAGCCCGTTCCAGACCTTGGCCACTCGAACTGTGAAGAAGTTCTTCCTAATGTCCAATCTAAATCTGCTCTCTGCTAGCTTGTGGACATTATTTCTTGTAACCCCCAGGGGCGCCTTGGTGACTAAATCCTCACCAATTCCCTTCTGTGCCCCCGTGATGAACTTATAGGCAGCCACAAGGTCACCTCTCAACCTTCTCTTGTGGAGGCTGAAGAGGTCCAGGTGCCCCAGTCTCTCCTCATAGGG